AAATATTAGGAATTTTGATGAAAGGAGATTAATTTTAAAAAACGTACAACGAGTGCTTCTTTCCACTGGAATATTAGTATATCTTTTGTAACACCTACCACTGGAGAAGTGAATCATATAAAAATAGAAACAAATAATGAATTGAAATAAATACTTACTCATCAGATGGTGCGTTGAGTTGAGCACAGCAACTGGAAGTACATGATAATCTGAGGGATAACAGTGGTAATGGGAGAGGAAAGTGCCTGGAGGATCTTGTCCAAGGGTTGTCAAAAGTGCTTGGCCAGAGTCAAGAGGTGGATTTCATGTGATGAAAGATGATGCAGCCTATGAGCACCTCCATCCAGAGAGGAATATACGATCCAGATGAGTTGATGAATCTAATCAGTGAACATAAAGGAAGAGAGATCCCTGAAAAAAAGATCAGTGTCATGGCAGGAATAAACAGTGGAGAGAACCATAAAATGGACTCATACATGCCAAATAACACCTAACTGCCCAAACTGAACACAAAAAGCAATCGAGATCAGTACAATCAAAGACAATATAGATCAATGGAAGAGATGTGAAAGAAATGGGAAGGAACAAGCATGTAGGGAACATAACCAAGGGTAATCTGTGAAACAAAGTATGGGTGGAATCCAATGCATAAAGACCAGATCTGCAACGACTACAAGCAAAAATAAAGCAGTTTGAAAGAGACGGTATAATGAGCAATAAACATGGGGTACAAATGGGGCCTATGAAGAACATGTAAAGCTACTTTATGGATCAGTGAATTTAAAGAAATGGACAAAAGAGATGATGAAGGAGAAAGGACCAGAATAAGGTGGAAAGAACAGGGGAGGAAAAGACAGTCATTGCAAAATCAACAAAATGCAATAAACATGGTTGACCAATAATCTGATGTAGTAGAAACCAACAAATTTCAGTGAAGCAATAAAAAAAATAAAGTTAAAAGATAGGTAAGAGGAGAATGGCCTGGTGGGAAAGAGTAGTGGACGACTAGCAGTGAAAAACACACCACAGTCGTTGATAGACAGAGAACAAGGACAACACAAATTAAATAAAATGGTTATTCACATGGAGAAACGTGACCAACAATTATGGGACCAAACAAATCCCATGTGTAAAGACAAAGGGACGACAAGGTTAAAAGATAGGTAAGAGAAGAATGGCCTGGTGGGAAATGAGTAGTGGATGGACTAGCAGTGAAAAACACACCACAGTCGTTGATAGACAGAGAACAAGGACAACACAAACTAAATAAAATGGTTTTTCACATGGAGAAACCTGACCAACAATTATGGGACCAAACAAATCCCATGTGTAAAGACAAAGGGACGACACACCCAAATGAAAGAGGTGTTTGGTTGTGGCTAGGGGTACACATACAGAAAGATACGAGACCAGTCCTGGTTAAGAACATCAACAACCAGAGCATTTGGATGAGGTACTGGGAACCAGAAGACGGGAAATTTGGAATTGAGAGGAATGGCAAAGGTACTGAGCATTGGCATGCCCAACTGGTAATACTTCCAATGAAACACGTGAGAATGGAGTAACTACTGGTCGAAAGAAATAATTTGCCACAAAGTTCAAAGCCCCGGGGGCAGAGAGACAGATAAATCTGGTGTGAGTGGGTCAAAAATAGAAAGTTCAAGATGCAGAAGCAGATTTCCTGGAGTGAGTCCCACCTTGATGAATGATATGGAAAGCAACCATAAAATTGTCAGATTGGATCATAACCAAGTGATCTACCAATGGAGGTAGGAAATAGGAACATACCTGATGGACATCTAAAAATTCCAGAACAGTTATGTGGATATTAAGCTCCACATATCACCAAATCCCTGAGGCCATGAAGTCATCCAGAAACGTGTCCCAACACATAAGGCGTGCATCAATGAAGAGATGGAGATCCTGACATGGAGGTAATAGTGGAGTTGTGACCATAGTTTGGGCACCATCCAGCCACCAAGCCAGATCCTCAAGAAGAAAAGGTGGCATTATCACAAGAGAGGATAAGGGATTATGGAAGATATTCCATTTGTCACTCAAAATCCATTGATAAAGCTTCATGTGAATATGACCTAAAAGGACAAGAAATTTGAGACATATGAGAGTCCCCAAAAAAGAGGTAAAACCTCTCATGAGAAAACATAGGATGGGTAAGTATTGAAATGACTAAATTCTTCATGTCTCAGAGATTAATGGGAAGAGGCTGAATCCGACAAAGTAGAGAAATGAAAATGACTCCAAATGAGGAATGAATTAGAAAATTTGACCAGCCAACCTATATGTGCTGCTTCTTGGAGAAGAAGCAAGGAGGAGCCAATCATCAATGTAATATAATGAAAATGAAGTCCAAGACTGTGGATGTGGTAATCAAATGCTCCCATCACTAAGTTGAATATGTAAGGAGCTGAGATGATACCAAAGGGGAGAGCTTGAAACTGGTACACATGATCCCAGTAAATGAAATAAAGAAAACACTGGGAAGACTGGACAATTGGAATATGTAAAAAATGTGTCAAAACCTTGGTCATCCCTAGTCCACGGGAAAAGAACCAATGGAGAAAAAGAAACCCCTCAAACTTGAACTGAGGAGCACTAGATAGTGGTTGAGAGACGAAAGAACAAAAAAGACTAGAAGTAACCCCTGAAGAGCAGAAAAGGACTCTCTCAATGGTTATCCTGTCCAAAAGATTCAATAACACAGCCTCAAAATACCAAATAAGCTAAAGAATGAAAAGAATCGAAAAAGGTACCAGAAAAAAGACAGAAAAGGAAAAGATGAGAAGTGATGAGAAAAAGTCTTGAATAAGAACTAGTATAGCTAATTGGATGGCTGCAAATGGGATTCAGAGGTCTGCAAATACAATTCTGGTACAAATGGGTGGTAGTGACCAGTAGAATATGCAACAGCAACTTAACTTGAAGGGGAAAACAACAAGGAGTAGAGGGACAAGAATCGGGAAAAGAGGCAGAGTGTTCACAAAGGTCGAGAAAAGTATGGGTTCACAAGTTTGGGAAACACAAGAAACTAAGGAGGAATTGGAAGACTGGTGCCAAACAGCTTCAGCCCAAGTCTCCAAGGTGTTAGAAACACCACCAAATATTTCAGAGCGAAGAAAAGGAGCCACATAGAGTTTATAGATGTGAGAGAGCAACAAAAAAAATAGCGGCAAAAAGTGCATCAAACTCCAGATGGTCCATATAACAGGGCGCCAAATACGCAGGAATCAAGTGAAACGTGAAACACTTCTCAAGGTATTGAAAAAGACCGACCATAGATCTCCCAAAAATATCAGAATCACAGTCTAAGGCTTCAGAAAGGAGATGGGTAAGAAAAGGGCAAAGAAATTTGATCACTAGAATGTTATTGAAGACAGGTGGTAAGCCCACAAAGCAGTTAAAAGATCCAGGGATTGCATTATAAAACAGAAAAGGAGAACTGCCATAAGCTATAGCAAAGGAATCTTGGAGTTGAAGAGGACGAAACATTTGAGTGTGTCACCAAAGCTGATCCAGAAACATGTCAGCGTGTATATGTATGACAGCATTTTGTACGAAACGAGAGGAATCAAAAGAAATAAATGAAAGAGAACGTAAAGAACAAACCTAAGAAATCAAATCCACAAAGAGATTTGAAGGAGGAACAGATAAAGAGAAGCCTTGTGCAAACCTGGGAGATGAAAAGAACCAATCAAAATCGTCGTCCTTTGGGTCGGGTTAGAAAGAAGGGAATGCACTCCCGATGTAGGGAGATGGAGATAATGCAATGAAGACATTATCGAGCCCACAACACGTTGAATAATGATATTAATACCCTCCACAGTCAATGAGCCACTGTAACTTGAGAATTCATTGAGGTTAAAGGAATTCTCCAGATTTTTTTAATGTACAGTAATTGAATAATAATATATGTTGAAATAAAATAAAATGTACGAAATTTACCACTGGAATAAACGCATCATAACGCTACATTGAACAGTGAGATAATTCAAAGAAATACGCCCATTCATGAGGGAAAAGAATTAAATTAATTTCGAGTGCAAGTGCTTATGGAGATCTACTACAAATGTAGGATGTGTCGCCTTCCTATTGGTGGAGGGCTGATTACATCACCCACTAGCGTGGTTCGTGTTAAAACATGCATTAGGTAGGAGACAACTCAAACTAGTGGCTTGCAAAAAATCTCAAGGGCAGACGCGCAAGGAATAGCTGCTATGTGGGGGATGTAAAAATAATGTTTTGGAAACGAAATTAAAACAAACTGAAAGGAAACCAAATAAAGATAATACTGTGAAACTGATTAAGTTTAAATGTAAAAAAAAATGTTCGTCAAAGGCATTTGCAAAAATAAGGATGAAGTTAATTTCAAGTGCTAAAGGGTTCTACTGCACAAGGAGGATTTGTCGCCCTTCTGTTGGTGAAGGGCTACTGTTGCATGATGATTACCATATGTTCTACTGCAGTTCATGTCCAAACGTATCTTAGGTGGGAGTCATTTCAAGGCTAGCGGCATGCACAAAATCTCAAAGGCAGATGCACGAATAGTGGTATTGACCATGACTTAATAACGCCTCCACAGCTGAAAAGGCTAGCATGCTTAGTGGGACGGGGATTCAAATCCACGACCCTCAGATTGCGAGTCAAATGCCCTAGCCACCGAGCCATTCTGGATTATGTAGAAATATTTAATAATCATGATCAATACAAAGAAGTTTTACATACTTGCAAAATTGTCAAATCTGGCATTTACAGACATGCATTAATAAAAAAACAGTTTAGTTTCAGAAAGTCTGTCAAAGATTTTGTACCTTATCTTTGATTCAATTAACACTTTACTTTTGTGTGCCTTCTATTAATAGATCATCATATTTATATCTAACAAGAATACAAGCTAAGTTTGGCAAGAATGCATTAGTTCTGCGTTGCTAAGGCACACTTTAAAATAGTCTGAAATGTTTTGGTAACATTAAGCATAAGACTGATTTTCCACATATGAAAGCCACTTTTTATTAGAAACTGTAACACAATGTTTACAAACAACACTATTCAACATTGTACCTTTTACAAGTGAACAGCAAATTTAGGGTACAAAAAGAAGCATTCTGGTATAATGACTGAAAAACAAAACTTACAACAGATGATAGTAAAAGAAGTTTCTCCTACTATATATCACACAAGGGTCTCTATTTAGATCTATACCTATACGTCACACGAATTGCGACACGGAGTTACTGCTTACAAATAACAGTTCAATCCACAAATATTAAGCCTAACAGAGGGTGTTCCGTTCTACTCATAATTACTTTTCTAACACAACAGCATCATGTAGGTGGCACTTCAAAAACACAAAAATCTTTAGCCGATTGTACATTAATATGATTTTTGTTGTTTCAGTTTTATTTCACCATTTTTCATCCAAACCAGGGTTTAGTTTATTTAATTTCAGAATTAATGTAAAAAGAAAGAGATTGTAGCTTACATTTTATACGCTTGTACATATATTAAAAAACCATATTATTCCCGTCATTTGTGACAATCAAGAGAAAATCTGGCATTAATTAGAACAAAACACGCATTTCAACATCAACACAAAATAAATTACAGTGAAACAGACAAAACAAATAGTTAAAATGGTTAGTGTGAACAAAGATATACTTGTAGTAGTAAATCACGATTTCAATAAATATACAAAAAACTCTTTATGAGTGTAAAAATATTTCACAATATTTGAGGGCTCAACACGCTAACTCCAGCAACAACATAAAAAGATCTTTCACGTGATTCAACTCAAAAGCTGTACATATCAGTAATTTATAGGATTCTCTTCAAAGCCAGCTATCACTGCTGAAGGTGACCATCTCTTTCATGTACAAATACTTTTCTTGCACAACCTGGTTTCCTTTCATTCCAGTGTGGAAAGAAATTGGTAATGTCATGTTTTGTGTTGAGACAGTCCCAATTGTTTTCAAGTTAACAGTGTTAAATAAAATAGCTACATTTAACATCTATCTAGAGGCTTCTACTTTGTTATACTTACATAATTATTTCTAGTCTAATGGACAACATTTCTGAGCAGGACTATATCAATTTTAAATAAAATACCTCTATCTACTGGAAGCTAAGAACTATTTATGTGTGTTAGTTGTTACCTTAATCATACCATGTTAACAAAGAAACCTTGAAACAGCCTTTGAGCAAATCCATTTTTAACAATCCTGTAATGTCAGCTGTAATTTTCAATATACAGTATCAATAAAAGGGAATCTTTTTACCTGCAGTGTCAAAACAAAATACAGATTTGGTACATATCAATCAATAAACAAAACCAAGTCAAAACTTTTCTCAATGAGAAAAAGGTATCATTGTTACTAAATAAATAATCTGGTTATACAAAAATGAAAAGTTCTGACGTTATGCCAATATCTACAGTGATTCTTTCAGTCTTCCTGAATTGTCTATTTCAATAGAAATAATCCAGACAAAAATTGTTAAATTTTTAACACTAAGTTTCATGTTTTAAGAAGTCTTTCCTACAATTATATAGTTTAATATACAAAAAAAAAAAAATACAATAAGGTTTTTTTTCTGTTACAAAAGAACAAGTAGAAAGATGGCTGACTAGAAGATCTTCCTCATTATAACAACCAACAATACACATACACGTTCATGTCTGTCTAAAGATGGCTGACTAGAAGATCTTCCTCATTACAACAACCAACAATACACATACATGTTCATGTCTGTCTATAGATGGCTGAATAGATCTTCCTCATTATAACAACCAACAATACACATACATGTTCATGTCTGTCTAAAGATGGCTGACTAGAAGATCTTCCTCATTATAACAACCAACAATACACATACACGTTCATGTCTGTCTAAAGATGGCTGACTAGAAGATCTTCCTCATTACAACAACCAACAATACACATGCACGTTCATGTTTGTCTAAAGATGGCTGACTAGAAGATCTTCCTCATTATAACAACCAACAATACACATACATGTTCATGACTGTCTAAAGATGGCTGACTAGAAGATCTTCCTCATTATAACAACCAACAATACACATACACGTTCATGTCTGTCTAAAGATGGCTGACTAGAAGATCTTCCTCATTACAACAACCAACAATACACATACATGTCTGTCTAGAAATATTTTATGCATCAATTTTAAATCTGGACGAAAAAAAAGGTGTTTGTATTTATGATAAAGCTACTATGTCTATCTACTGAGATCCATAATTTTGAACTACTGAGTAGAGGAAGGCAGCCAGTCAGCCCACCCTACCACCCACACTAAAGTATTAACTGTCACTCTTATAATATGGTTCAAGCTTAAAGTGGGGGGAGGAATATTTAGTGGTATTGCACAGATTCAAACAAATCTAATCAGCTCCAAGATTTAGAGATACACCATAAGTTCAAACTATGGCAAAAAATAAACCTATAGCAACGCTTTACATAACAATTTCAATAAATCCCGGCATTTTCTTTTCAGAAGTTAATATATTTTGCAAATCCAAATATTTATTTACAAGCATGTTAGCTAAGGCATCTTTACAAATCTGGTGTGGTGATTTTGTGGCAGATTTTTTTATGCACATTTCAATTCAGGATGCAATTACTATTACAAAGCATTAACATTTGTATTGCATATAAATAAAATGTCAAATGATGAGGTAAATATTCCAACTTCAACTGCAGAATTAAAAGAAGGCACAGAAGTTAAATAATAAAATTTAAATACGGTTAGTTTGTAAATAGATTTTCACCTCATTTGCAACTAACCAACATCTAATTTCAAGTTTCCTAGTTTTCACTTGAGATTCCTGTGAATTTAACCCTCAACTGATAGGGTAAAATATTTGTATAATAAGTGGTAGGGTGGGTAAAAATGACTCATGTGTAATAAACATCAAAAATGTCTACATAATAAGGTGGGGTCACAATGACCCACAAATGATTACCACAGTAAGACCAACAACTAGAACAGCAGACAGGATCTGCTCAACACTCAAGAACTGATTGAGGATATAGTACAGAAAAGGTCAGGTAGAGAGCAGCACTAGTTGAGTTGGAGTACCAACTTGAAAATTCAATGTGGGTCATTCTGACCCCACATTACCAGTTGAGGGTTAACATGATTTTAAGAAGACTTTGATCTTTGTGCAACCACCTTTTTAAATTAACAAATACAAAGTTCTATGTATAGGATTGTACCAGACTTTTCTCTACATTAAAATACTTTTACTTGCAAGCTCTTGGCCCTCTTACCAGAGCCTTCATTGGGCTTTATTGTTGCTAGAGAAAGGCTCCAGTAAGAGGGCCGAAAGCTCGCAAATAAAAGTATTTTTATCATAGAGAAAATTCTGTGTATAATTCTATGTATTAATTTATCTATGTTATGAGTCTTAAACAACAGATATAAAGTTCATTATGTTGTGAACCCAATATGTCACTAAACTGTTGTTAAGTTGGAAATGTTTAATAAACCATAAATGAGGCTGTGAAATGAATAAAATATTTCCAACAATCCAAGTGGAAATTTATAATTAAAGCAATATTCAAACATAAAAAAATTAACAGTATTATCTTGGAAATGTGATGCTTGTTACGATTTTTTTTTAAATTCTTTATAGTACATATTGATCTCTTAAAATGCCTAAGCACATAAAAAAATTATACATAGCACAGTAATTTAAAAATTATGGCCCTAAATTATGTTACTATTTGATAAAATCAAAGTCACAATTGAAAAGTTAGGAATAAAAAACTTGACAATGGGGAGGCTATTGGCTAGTTTTTCAATTAATTGCCTGGTTACATGGTCTGGTGTTACAGATGGTTTGTTTTATTCTAGGTCAACTTCACAGTGTTTGGTTTCTTCCTAGCTCATTTAAGCTGCATTCATTTTTTTCATATGCAACCTTTGCAATATTCGTTTTTATTGGAATACCTCAACAATACTGTAACTTGAGATTATCTGAAAAAAAAAAACAAGCAACTTTGATTTTTTGTAGTTATAAAAGTAAAAAAATTAAACACAAAAAACTCGTGAGGTAATAAAATCAATGACCTCACAAAGACTACTGAAACTATTTATTTTGTTCTTTCTTAACTATGACTTCACATAACAAAATTGCATTGAGACACAGTATTGTCAAGCCAAATTTAACATTTACAAACTTATAATGCTTGGAGATGGTATGAATGGGTAATGAAGAAAAACTTTAATATAAGTTTAACATAACAGCAGATGTACAACGTTTTGATAAGGTTTTGTCATCATCAGGTAAAAGTAGTTTACACTGATGCAGATATATATACAGTATGGACCAAAGAGGTCACATGACCAGATACTGTTGCAACACTTAGAAGTGATATCTTGGCACTCCAGGGGGACATATAAAAAAGTTGGATTTGACCATTTTGAGTCTTTTTTTAGAGAGGTCAAAGCTGACAAGAAAGCATAATTTTGGGGTTTTTGGTCAATTACTCAGCCATATTTTGACCAGTTTGCATGGGATTTGGTACATAGATACTTTTATATATACTTTGTTTCGACTGATACCGAACATCAAATATTGACAATGACAAAACCTTGTCGAAACCGTTGTACATTTGCTGTTATGTTAAACTTATATTAAAGTTTTCTTCATTACCCATTCAAGCCGTCTCCAAGCATTATTAGTCTCAAAGTGGGTTCCTTGTCACCGAATATACAAACTTAAGTCTGGTAATCAAGTATGTATAAAAGACACCGATACTACTCCCTTCAAGCTTAACAAAGTGACGGAATTCGTTCATAACCCATGGCTTTCTTACATAAATTATAACATAATTCACTTTTTCATAACAAATATTCCATTATGAATTCAAGTACAAAAAAATATTAAATAAATGTCTTACAAATTCTGTATATTCAATAGAGTCAAACTCACAAAATAAGAAAAAATAAATAACATTAAGCACACAACAATGCTAGAATTTTGTTCTTGCCAAGTATAATCTTTTTGAATATGCAAGGTTAATAACCATAGTTCAGATGTGAGCCTCATCATTTCAACCTTTATTTTACAATATACATTAATTAAAACCAATATATTTTTATACAGAAAAATAATAATAATCATGATGGAAGCCGGGATTTAGAAATCACTAATATTTAAAATGTGTTCACTTGAGATATTACTCTGGAAACATTACATTCATTATGCAAAAAAATGAATAAAAACTACAGGTAAAAAAACAAAAAACAAGCAATCTATTCCAATTCTGTGGAGCTTTGTTTTACTACATAAAGAATCCCTAATATATAAAAGTTTGTGTGTACAGCAGGGAACCATCACATTACATACTTGTTTCAATACATCATTCCAGTTTCTTTTTATTTCTTTTTTTTTTGTCCAATTTATTACAAATGACAATTGCATAAAGGATAGCATCCTATGTGACAATGAACCAAATCATGAAAACACAAAACATAATACGAAAAATGATTTTTGCCCAGTATATGTGGAAGAAAATAATATTGTACCTAACGGAATGTGGTTATTTCCGTGTTTAATTTAGTAACGTTATCTTACAGAACATGTTATTTGAAACCAGCCAAATTAAAGTTTAAAAACAGTTCAGTGTATGATTCTAAATATTTTTTCAAATTCCTAAACATTCACAATTTGTTTTATCGTAAAGATATTAATAATACTGACTTTTAATATAAAAATATAAATACAGATGACTTGAAAAATGATATTATCATTTATTAATTATAAATACATAATATAATAAGAGCTCCATAATCTTTAAATGTTTAGTAATACCCAAAAGTTAACTAAACTAATGGGTGAAATCCCACAACCATATTTACATTTGTTTATTTTCTTTACAAGTAAAGCCACAAAAAAGAATGAAGAGACTGAGCCAAATGGAAACAATGATAGACTTAGGTAATATTTCCTCAGCAAATACACAATAAAATGGAGAACATGTAATTTCTTCCAAAGTGGTAGTCATTGATTTCCATGTCTAAAACAACAGTACTCAAACTCTACCAAATAAACAGTGGTCTCTAAGATTACACACCTTCTGTAACCCACATCTAGCTGGTGAAACCTTCCTACTCCATTTCTAAATGCTCAAAATAAACTTGGAAAAAATATTCTCATCAATTAATCACAGAAATTAGTAATTGTATAAGACAATTCCCATTTGGCACTATACACAAGTTAAGATAGATAAATAAATAATAATGAAAGCTTAACAACAATGTTACACACATTTCTTTTACCAATATTACTTATACCTATATTTAACACAAGTAAATACAGCAAAGAATCCAAATAAAATTTCTTGGTACTGAACTGAATACAAAGAGTTTCAAAGCACCCTTACAGAACAATAAATACTTTAGAAGACATGAAAAACACACCACATTGCTCCAAGTACAAGTGAGGTTTGCTATGTCAACATTTCTCTATTATGACATCGTCCAAGGTAAAAATGGCACTTTTGCAACTCTTCAACTGGAGCTAAAGGTCATATTCCTTAAATAAACTGACTCCAATGCAATTTTCAAATATTTTCCCTTTAACTTAAAAAACTTGTATCATACAAGATTTATCATATTATAGAATCTTATTAATCTTTCTCTCTCTCTTTTCTCAGTTACACAATTCCAAGCTAATCCTTTATGGCCATCTTTCTAGCTTGTAATATAGATACTTATCCTTTCTACTCTATCTCTATCCTCTTAGTTTATAGTATACATACTTGTGAGATCATTCTCTTAATCCAACCTTCTAAATCCTCTATTATTTAGTTACACACGTGTATGATAATCCTCTAGATCCAACTTTCTAATTTCTCCCTTTACACACACACCACCAAGATAATCCTTTTTAAGCTATCATTCTCATAAGTAATGCTACTACTTAAACTAGCTAATCTCTGTCTACTTGTTTCCACACCTGTATGATAATCCTCTATATCAAACCTTTTAATTTCTCCCTTTAGACACACACCACCAAGATAATCCTTTTTAAGCTATCATTCTCATAAGTAATGCTACTACTTAAACTAGCTAATCTCTGTCTATTTGTTTCCACACCTGTACAATAATCCTCTAGATCCAACCTTCTCACTTTTCACATTAATCCTGTTAAACAATTATTCTTGCACCAATAAACCCAAACAACCAACCAGATATTCTCGTTGGCACCTTTGTTTTTTAATCCTACTATCTATCAATCACATTCTTCACATTTGCAAGTTAATCTTCTGAAGTCAACTTTCTGAATTTCACCTTTGTTACTTAAATCTTTTAATATCATTTTTTAATTACATAGCCCTAAGCTAGTTAACTTAAGACAATCTACTTATTTACACTCATACTAAATGTTCTTATTTGTGTGAAGTACTACTCCTTCTAGTAATTATCTTACAACCTGTCCTTATTCCTTGCTTCCAATTGCACTCTTCAAAGCTAATTGTGTTAACCATCATTTCCTTATATAAACTGATATTCTTCCCACTTTTGTTCCGTTGGTATCTTCAGTATCTTGTTGTACTTTTGCAATGATACTTACACATTTTATTATTTACTGTTTTAAATCAAAAAATGCCATTTTGTTGTAGTACAGAATTTGTGACCTTTTCAAGTAGATAATTCCAGCATCTTGGCTTGTTGGTATCCTTGTTGTACCAATAGTCTGCTTTGATCCTCTGTTTCATCCATGAATATTGTAAAGCTTGACACTAAGAGCTTTCTACACATATCAGCAAACAGGCTAGAAACATGTGTCTAGAAGAGAACTAATGTCATCCTAAAAGAGACAGGTTATGAATCAAGGTAGATTTAACTAACTGACAACATTTGGTAATTCAAGCTAATTATTCAGATTTAACTAATAGTATATCGAATACTGATTAAATCTAAATACAAGAATAAAAGAAGAAATATTTCTAGTTTCTTTTCTGCAATGCAAGCCAAACATTTTTTTTTTATTTTTTGAAATATCAACGTGCAAAGCTGTTGCATTTAGGTTTTTTACCTTACCAAACTACACAGGCAATAAAAATCTGTTTAAAGTTCATAATTTTCAGGGAATAAATTATCAAACAAAGGAGAACACAATTCTGGAACTACTGTTATTCAGTCTTTGATGTTCTGTGAAAGGAAACATGCTAAACAGTAAAGGCTCTTTTTTTTTGGGGGGGGGGGGGGTGAAGAGAACATCTAAAGCATAAATCCCATAAAAATGCTCCCTTGCCTTAGAAAATTAATAGTGTCTGTCATACATTGAAAAATAAAAAAAACTTTTCAGAACCAATAAACTTCAGGCTCTACCTATCTACAGAATGCACAATAACTGCAACAGTCACGTTAAATGTTAAAAATCAAAACGGCAGTACTAAGAATAAAAACAACTGACAACTCAACATTAGAACATAATAGTTAAAACTTTGTACTAATATGATCTATAACTGATATTATTGCTTTACTTTCAGATCTACAAAAGTCATCTTAATGGTGACCACCAATTCAATTATAAAGAGCCTTGTACTAAATTCTGTAATACCTTGACAATTTCACAAATATCTAGGTTTTTCAGAACATTTCATTTTTCTTCTTTTGCTAATCATTTTTGTAGAATAAATGATTCTTAAGTGAAAAAACTATGGTTCATTAGTACATTTTAATGCTGTTTCTTTTGTGAATGTGGAGAGTATATTAAAATTTACAATACTTTGGACAATATCTTTTGATTTGGAAATCTAAAGGCTTTTACACATTTGAAACTCATATGTACTCACACCTCATTCTGTTCAGATGACGTTTCTATCATAAAGAACACCTTTGGAGCATATGATTGCTTGAGAAAACTGACTGATAATGGCCAAACATACACACACACACACTTCATGAAACATAAAGTGATTGTCAAATACTAGGAACTGCTGAGTTTGGTTACCTTATGAGACAAGTAACACACAACCTAGAAGTTCCAATACAGTCATCATGGCAGAAGGCACCAGATTTCTGACACATAACCACAGCTTTAAGATTGCATGCATAATTTCCTCTTCCTCCAATCAGATCACCTGATGATGCTCCACTACCTGGAATTCCTCCTCTGTTAGCTATGCTGGTATTTGTAGTTGCTGGGGTCAATGAAAGACATATATATTTCTTCCTCCCTGTCCACTAGAAGTTGCTGTGACCCCTTTTTGTGGGACATGAAGTATTACAATGCCAGTGGACATTATAGACATCTGTGTCAGAGCTGGAACAAAAGATACTGTTTGAGTATTCATCAAGCCACTGTTCTCTGGATGGAAAATGGTACTAGAAACTGAATCCAACATCCCCGAAGCTGGAAAAGCCGTACTGCCTGAAAAAACGGTACTTACAGATATAGTTGAGAAACTAGTTGCTAGATGTGGATAAGAAAAGCTGTCAAAGACATAATGATCTGTTAGGACATTATCAGTGGAGTGACCATAATTAGAGGTAACCATCACACTACTATCATATCCTGTTTTAACCACCATGCTTGAATCATATCCACTATTTGAAGCCAAAGAAACCTCAGCAGCAGAATAACCTACAAGGTTGGGTGTTTTAGTATCTTCCAATAAAGTTGACGTGATACCATTACTAGATACAACGCAACATAATGATGAACTTGTTGGCTGAGGTATCTGATGTCTGTTTTGGTAACACTTCTTCAACACTCTTAGGAGTAGAAATTTGTGGCAACAACACACTGCCAGTTGACTGAACAGCACTTACAACATCATTGATGACTGTCTTACATTTCTCATTTGATAGTTCATTAAGACCTTTGCAACTGGAACCTCTTTTCAGTAAACAGTTTCTTTGACTTTCCACCATAATCAGGGGGTGCTGTAAAAGGTCTTACAGCTTTAACACATGTGGAGAATTTGTGGGTACCATCCTCCCAGTTTCATGTCACTACAATACAAGGAAAGCCCCTCTCTTTAGTTTTATTCTTGTTAAGGTGATCTACATTATTTACTTTCCTGATGCTTCCTGCAACACCAATGAGTTGACACAAAGTAGGCAAGTTAGCAAGTTGATTGATGCCGCTTTCTGTAAAGCACAATTCAAACCCCTCTTCATTTAGCACACCTTCGTAGAAAACCTCATTATCTTCTTCTGATGGAGTAATAATCAAATATTCCTATTGGAACTCTTCATCCTCTATAAATATAAAAATAATATATACAAATTGTTTTACACACTGGTTAAAACTCAAAAGATAAGTTAGTGGAAAATAAATTACAAATAAAATATCAGTAATTTCATTTACAAAATGCTGATTTATATAAAAAAACCTATCAAGTGTCATGAAAAGACAATAAAGTACCAACCGTCCTTTTCCAATTCTGGTAAAGTTATTTTGTGTTTGGAAATGTTTATCTCTTCCAACACAATGTGGTGCAGTGTGAAAAAAGCATATAATATTTAACTACATACATGAAATTATTATTGTATATAACAGTTTGAAGTTAATTATAAGAGAAACAATATAAAAATATTTATGTTGTTCAGTTAAATAGTTGTGCACTTGACTGTCCTTTAGAATTCTTTACAACCATGTTTTTAAACAAAAGCATAGCAATGGACACCTTGTTTAGGTGCTCTCACCTTCCAACAGGGTTTACATTCCATCGATCCATACCTGTGGCTGGCAACCCTACCACAATCACCCGAGTTACAGGATATCTAAACTTGTACCATTCCAGCATGTGGACAAAACAAATGTATAACCTTCCAACACGGTTTACATTCCTCGATCCATACCTGTGGCTGGCAACCCTACCACAATCACCCGAGTTACAGGCTATCTAAACTTGTACCACTCCAGCATGCCAAAACAAATATATAACCTTCCAACAGGGTTTACATTTCTCGATCCATACCTGTGGCTGGCAACCCTACCACAATCACCCAAGTTACAGGCTATCTAAACTTGTACCACTCCAAGAGGAATGTAAACCTTGTTGGAAGGTTATACATTTGTTTTGGCCACATGGGTCCATACCTGTGGCTGGCAACCCTACCACAATCACCTGAGTTACAGGCTATCTAAACTTGTACCACTCCAGCATGTGGCCAAAACAAATGTATAACCTTCCAACAGGATTTACATTCCTCGATCCATACCTGTGGCTGCAATCACCTGAGTTACAGGCTATCTAAACTTGTACCATTCCAGCATGTGGCCAAAACAAATGTATAACAGTTTTCAAAACTACCTTACCATTTTCAGAACTAAACAAATGTAATTTGTCTGTATGTGTATGACATATGGATCATAATTCTTTTTGTAACAATCATTCTGCACAGTCTAAATTCTCAATCAGTATTAAATAATAAATGTTAAACTATTTCATATAAAAAGCATAAAAATTAGTAATTATTAGAAGAAAAAAAAACAATACAATTATGCATTTTATTATGCTTTTTTCTATTAATTACTCATTTTCTATGCTTTTTACATAGAATAGTTTAACATTTGTTATTTAATACTGATTTACCTTTTTGTACAAATGAAATAAGTATCTCTGATTAAATATTACTGAGGACTGAGGCCTGCTACCTAACATTCAATCAAGATATCCCAGGACTTGTAAAATGGGCAAAAACAATTTAAATTCTGTGACATTATAAACTGGGTACTATAAAATAACTTCAACCAATATACAGATCATACAACTTCATAAGAATCAGCATAATCATATAATCCTCCATCAACTTTTATTACAAAACCAACTCTGGTAAATTATCTTAAGGCTAGCAGACTTCCACCTGGTTTTATTAGAGAGCCCAGTATTAAAATAGCTTAACTCAGAGATAGAAGACTTTCATTAAGTTCTATTAAATAACAAGATTATTCATTTTAGCAAGTATAAGTATATAACTGTCCTAAGTAAACAAATTAAGTGATTTTATCTACTTTTCAATGTACTTAACAATCTAGTAGAAACAGAGCTTGAATAGGAAAACCATAAGAAAATTAAATCTACTTCAAGACACATTTTCTGGAGAACAGGTTAAAAATCATATATAATCGTGATAAAATAAAAAGTTTTTTTCTTTCATTGGAGAGTGACAGATATTTGGGATATAAAAGTTCTGAGCCAATTTCAGGGTCATCACAGGTCAGAAATACTTGCCACAGACACAAAGTAGTAAGTCATTAGAATCTGCATGAATTATACTTTTCATCAATGTAATTCATTGTTGCATTTAGTTATCCAGCAGAGGCTGGTATGCAATCATAAAAAAATAAAAAAAGAGAGAGAGAGTACCAAATTTCAATAATCAAATTTTATTTTTACCAGGTAACTAGGGAAGTAAAAGCTTAAGATTGTATTTTTCATCTTTTTAACATACTAATAATTAGAAAAAAAAATTAATCAACAGCAAGTAGTTGTATGGAGGGTTAAATATTTCAGAGTATAAAAATCCTCCGACTTGACTTGGGAATTATATGAACCATAAGTCAGTAAGATTTGGTCATATGACAAAAAATAACAGTGTTAGAATCAGCATTAACTATACTTTTGATTGACATGATTCAATGTAACATTGTTTTTATTAAGAGATCACATTTCTACCATCCACCAGTAACAGTCTGGTTGTTTTTAATAAAATAATTATGCAGTTTATGAATAAAGCAGAAGTCAGAAACTATAGTTTGTCTCACCTACTTACATCACTAAATCTTCCTCTTCTGATATAACTAGTCGAGACTTCATACAAGATCATCCACTGCAGATGCCACGTATGCTTGTACAACGGAGATCGTACCATTGGCAAGTGCATCTCGAACCACAGCATACATCAGTATTAGATTCGCAGTTACATTTCATCACACGTAGTAGTTTGGATGATGCTGGATCTTTGTCAGTAGAAACTGGATGAAGTGAACCAGTTACGTCTGTCAAGTGCTGACGAACAGCTTTCAATTGCACAACTGTTAGATCTTTGGGAAACTATAACGAGCAAGGTGAGGGATCATCTAACGTCGAAAATTTCCTGAGTTCTTTAAGCAAAAAAATCTCCCAATAGCTCACAATTTGTTTACTTCCATAAAAAAAGGCATAACAAGTAAAAAATGTCTGAAAATACTGGCAGTACGTCTTGCTTGCTGTTTCCGATAAATCTGGTCAAGATGGATAATTTGATAATTTGTGCCAATCTTTTGCTAAAGCTCATAGACTGTGAAAACCATTAGTTCTAAAGCTATTTTTCATAACTCTCTCATTCAATGGCCCTTATAATCATCAAAGTCGAGTTGGGGATTTTTGTACCCCAAATAAATTACTATCCTGGCTCCTAAATATCACAAATATTTGGCAACCCCTGGCTATTATACACTATTCTTCCTGGGAACCTGTAATGGATGATGTAAGAATGATTGAACTTAAATTATTATCAGTTTTATTGTGATGTAATATCAAACATACATAGATTGTTATCAGTCTTATTGTGATGTAATATTAAACATACATAGATTGTTATCAGTCTTATTGTGATGTAATATCAAACATACATAGATTGTTATCAGTCTTATTGTGATGTAATATCAAACAATCATAGATTATTATCAGTTTTATTGTGATGTAATATCAAACATACATAGATTGTTATCAGTCTTATTGTGATGTAATATCAAACATACATAGATTGTTATCAGTCTTATTGTGATGTAATATCAAACATACATAGATTGTTATCAGTCTTATTGTGATGTAATATCAAACATACATAGATTGTTATCAGTCTTATTATGATGTAATATTAAACGTACATAGATCATTATCAGTCTTATTATAATGTAATATCAAACATACATAGATTGTTATCAGTCTTATTGTGATGTAATATTAAACATACATAGATTATTATCAGTCTTCTAGTGATGTAATATCAAGCATACATAGATTATTATCAGTCTTCTAGTGATGTAATATCAAACATACATAGATTATTATCAGTCTTCTAGTGATGTAATATCAAACATACATAGATTATTATCAGTCCTATTGTGATGTAATATCAAACATACACAGATTATTATCAGTCCTATTGTTATATAAAATGTACATAGATTGTTATCAGTCCTATTGTTATATAAAATGTACATAGATTATTATCAGTCTTCTAGTGATGTGATATCAAACATACATAGATTATTATCAGTCTTATTGTGAAGTA